TTCGTATCATTGTATTCCTTCCATATTCGTATGTGACTAATCTACATTTTCGGTTCGTTAATCAGAAAAAGAAAAAATACATGTCGTTATTTCACGAGTCACGAACGAAATACGCTTCCACTTTCTAGGAATGTTTTCATAGTTCATTTTTATTTGGATGTTATTGACTTTATGAATTTATGTTGAAAACCTTTTTTTTATGTTAATTACTTTAATCATTTTATGAATTTATGTTGAAAATGCTAGATTTTTTTAAAATGTGTTGTTTATTTATTAAATGAGTTATATGAGTTGGGGTGGGTTGAGGTTTCCAGCCCACCAACCCGTGACCCACCAACCCGTCAACCCATATATTATATGAGTTGGGTTGAGTTTATGTTTTCTTACCCGCCAATGTGACAACCTGAAGTTGTTCCATCGCTACAACCCGTTCCGTTCGTAAAACTCGTCTTAAGCGAATTATTCTGTTCCGTTTTTGGATTAGGTCAATTAAATTAAGACTTTTATTTTGACTTTGTAAGTATCCAAACATGTTAGAAACACAAGAAAACGTCTCAAACTAGTAATTAGAAAAACCTTAGTTTTGACCATATCGGGTGACGACAACTTAATCGGGTGCGACCAAAAGCCTCGGTTAACATCAGTATCGGGTAGAATTCCACCGTGTCTCAAATCCAAACCATATTTAAAGTGGTTTAAGCCTCATTTGAACACTTTTTCACTCTCTCTCTAACCTTTCTCCTCAATCCATGATCTAGGTCCAAAAATCACACTTTCCAAGCTTCAAATCACTAAGGTAACTTCCCTAACTCATAGATTAGCATCTTAGACCTTCAAATTCGTGGTTAAGCAATCAATTAGGACCATTTTCATGTGTTTACGGCCCTAGAACATGCTTGGGCCGTAAACACACATATAAGGGGTTTTTGAGCCTTTAAACCCTTCCAATCGACCTTTGGAGCTTAGATATGGCTATATGACTTAATGTACTGGACTTAGAACACCTTGAAACGAGTTTTTGGAGAGTAAACATGAGTTTACTGCCCAAGAACATGCTTGGGCCGTAAACTCACCTTCATGGGGAGTAAACTCATATTTGAGTGTTTAAAAGCCACTTAAACACACCAATAGCCTTGGATTAAATTCTAGAATCAACCACCAACAAGTTAGGGACCTTAAACTTGATTAAAACAACTCCATAAGGAGTTCACGGCCGTAAACCCCTCATGAATGGGTTCCTAGGCCGTAAACTCCTATAAAGGGGTTAAATGGTGCCTTAAACTCACCCTTTGACTTGTAAAAATGAGTAGAACCACTTATGATTAACCTATGGCCTTCAAAACACATAAGGAATGTGTGGGTGAGAGTTTACGGTTGTAAACTCATAGTTTACTGTCGTAAACTCATCAAATGGTCCATATGTTTGAATTAGTCCCTTTCTAATGACCTAGAACAAAACCTAGCATCATCCTTCAATTGGTAAAAGGCCATTTAGCACTCAAGAACTCATCCATGAGTTTACGGTCGTAAAATCATGGGGATGAGGTGTTTAGGGCTGAAATCTCTTCTAAGAGTTTACTCTTGAAGAGTAACTCCTTATCCAAGCCCTACATGCCCATAAATGTCACCCGGGTCACTCTAAACACTTGAATTGAAGTGTTTTCGCAACTAGAAGTGTATATCCTCTATTGATTAGTGATTTAAATCTAATTAGATACAATTATGTATCATTTAATATTACATAGGAACCTCACACATTTTCAAGCCTCGATCTGACGTTTAAACATCCTAGTCGACACATTTTTAGTTCAGTGAGTTCATACCCCTCAATGAACCTTTTAAATGTTTTTACATGTTTTAGGGGGGGGGGGGGATAAAAGTACGTTACTACGTGTTTTATTATCAAATCATATGTGATTTACAATCTATCATCAAAAAGGGATTTCTCTACAATTTTAGGTACTTATCAATAAAACTGTTTTAACTAATTATCAAATGCGCTTTTAAGGTTAAATTGTTGTTAAACTATTTTCAAAACTATGTTTCAACTACTTTTCTTTTTTTAAAAATATATCTACATTAATATATTTATATAAATAAGACTTGAAAGACTTAGGACCGATAGGTGACCTTATTTCCTGTTCTTGTTTGATGTGGTTTTAGGGTATTGGTTATCCGTCCGACTGTCGTTGAATTCTTAATTATATATCATATATATTTGTGTTAGATATGAATGTTTTTATCTTATTCATTACTACTGTTGATCAGAAGCATGAATTCACATACTCTATTTAACTATAATAGGTATAGTTAAGGCTACTACTAGTTACCTCTACTACTACTATACTCGCCATAAACTGTTAATGTTACAAGCTAATGCAAGTATAAGAGAACACTCTACTTACTATACTAAAAGTCTACCATACTAAAGCATAAGAGAATTCACTAATACAAAGTATATCACACTACCTCTCTATAAGGCACTCCACTATACTTACACCATGTGACCAGGGCTTCCCGAAAGGAAAGCAACACTATATGTATAGATCTATACAGAACTGACACTATTACATCCCGACTGTTAACTACAGTCCGAGCCGACTAGGCCCAGGGGTGGCACTACACTACTTCACTAGGCATGACCGGGAAGGTCATCGGTACTCTACTACTTCACAATTGGTCACATGAGAAGTTAAACTTACATCTAAATAAATACACTAAGACTTAAAGTCTGAACTAATATCCCGAAGTAATTAAAGATCTATTACTAATTAAAGTTACAACACTACTACTGTTAACAAGCATAACTTTTCTTCAGTCATATTACTTACATGAGATTTATTACTACACTTTTACAATTGAAGGTTTCAACAATATTACTTTTACACACTCAGAAGATTGATTTACAAATGTACTTTCTGGAAAATATAGGAATTCTAGGGATTTCTACTACTCATAAATACAAATTTCAGTTTTTATACTATAAGTTTGCAAACACTTTTATACTACAATGACACTAAACTCTTATGAACTCACCAACTTTATGCTGATATTCGTCTTCAAAATAACTTGTATCCTCAGGTCAAAGATAGACAGGTACAGGGCAGGTTTTGGAAGAAGATGGAGCATATAGAAGACTCATCTTTTATTTTGTTATACTTTTGGTGTCTATTAAACTTTACAGAACACAATTGTAATTATTATCACTATATATATGAAATGCTTGTTGTTTCTTGTTGTTACTATTATGCAATTGTAATGATATTGTACATGACGTCCTCCACCCCAAAATGTATTCCACCGTTCTCGGTTTTGGGGTGTGACAGCCAATCTGCCAATCCATGACCCGCCAACCCGAACCCAACCCAATTGCCAGGCCTACTTAAGAGTTTAAGTTGTTTTTGATTTGCATAAAACCCATCAGTAAAGTGTCCAACCCAAAGGCTTCAACTCCTATGAGCTTTGAAATATCTGCATTCACTACACCCAAGGCTCAAGTAAATGAAGCAAGTGATGAAAATGAGATGAACAAGGCAGAGATTAAACAAGAAAAAAAATGATCCAATACTGGAAAAAAACAACATGCCAATCCGGCTTCAAATGAATGATATATACATGTTTTAAACTTTTCACAGAAAGTGGTTCTTGTTCCTAACACCGGTTCTAGTTCTTAAACCCGGACCCAAAAGACCTAAAACCCAGAACCCGGATAAAGCCATTCTTTAAACCAAAAATCCGGACCGGTTCTACATATTCCGGTTCTAACAGTTTCAGTTTCGGTTTATTTTTTTGGTTTTAAATCTCATCCCTAACAAGTGCCATGACCGCAATAGCTAACTTTAGTGGTTAACTATGACTAGGGCTGTAAATGAACCAAATGAATATGAACAAATGATTGTTCATGTTCGTTCGTTTAAGTTAGCCGAACAAACGAATGAACACTAATGGATAAAAGAATGAGTTTTCTTGTTTATGTTTGTTCGTTTAACAAATTACATTGTTATGTTTGTGGTAAACTAACATAAATGAACAAAGATAAACAAACATAATTAAACATATATAAATATAAACAAACATATTATAGTAATATAATAAAAAACAATTAAACATATATGAAGATAAATGAACTTAAACAAACAAACATAAATAAATGTAAACGTATAATATAAACAAACATTCATGAACATAAATGAACGAACGAAACCATTATTTATGTTAGTTCGTTTAGCAAAACGAACTAGAATTTGTGTTCATTTTCGTTCATTTATCAAATAAACGAACATAAACGAACTTCATGCCGAACGTTCACTTTATTTATAAATTATAGTCCTAGCTATGACCATGTAGTCTTTTTGGACCAAAATCAACATTCAATTATTTAAAGCTAAAAAAACAAGAAGAAGATATATCGGGGGTGAAAATGTAATTGCAGGAAACTTAAGAGGTTCCTTAAACCATTTATCCAAAACGGCAAAACCCCATTTCGCTGTCAAAAACCCCTGCCTCTGCTACTCACTGATACGTTCCACCGTCTCTTTCTACGAGAAACCTCCGGCAGATTGCAGCTCCGGCGAAAAGCCTCGACTAACCACCTACGTCGAATTCGGAGTTACTGTCCTCGGTACTCATCTTCTCTTGATTAATTTTATGTCTGTTTCCTGCTTCAGTTTAATCTGTATTGTATACATTCCTTAGTTTAAAAGCCATTTTGGATTTGTTCTGATTGTGTAAGAACCTTATTCAAATTTCTCTTAGGTTTGTAACCTGCTTTTGCACCAATATATACTATTTCTGATTGTTGGAAGCTGAAAGCACAACCCTGTTTTATTCAAAACCCTAGTCATAAGACGTTGAAACCGTGAAATTGAGCCAAATACCACTTTAGCGAAGAAAGATTCTGTCTGAATCGAAGCTATGGCTGGGCGTTTACGCAGACATGTTTATATACTTCTTGTTTAATTGTGTGGGTTGTGTACCAAACAGGTCTTAATCTTTAGCATATGGACCTGATCGAATCTATTCATGACATCCCTGTGCAAAATCCATCAGTGGAAGATTTCTCTGCTTCGGACTTAAATTGGATAAAATTTGGGACTCCTGAACACCATGATGACGTGGCACTAATTCCATATGCTAGAGCTGAAGAATTCATCATTGGCGAGTGTTCTAATGTAGAATGCCCAACCCGTTTTCACATTGAGAGAGGAAGGAAACGTTCATTAGGCAGCCTGATGGAATTCAAGAGCGATGAATATCTTGAGTATAGACTGTAAGCATTTTGACAATTCTTGTAACTTTAATTTATGCTTGCTTTATAAACACCTAAATTCCAAAACACTTGATAAAATCTCAATTATTATTTATTTATTTATTTATTTTCTGTATTCTTATAGGTACTGGTGCTCATTTGGTCCTGAGAACTACGGGGAAGGCGGAATCATATTGCCAAGCAGAAGATACAGACTCAACACCCGAAACCGGGCAGCCCGACCTCAATCAATGCGAGGCTGCACATGTCATTTTGTTATAAAAAGATTATACGCGCGTCCATCTCTCGCCCTCATAATCTACAACAACCGCCGCCACGTCAGCAAATCCGGATTCATCTGCCACGGGCCCCTCGACCGGGACGCCATTGGTCCCGGTGCGAAGAAAATCCCGTACGTGGGACATGAAATCCAACAACAGACGATGTCGATGATTTATCTTGGGATTCCGGAAGAAAATGTTTTGGAGAAACATATAGAAGGGATACAACGGTATTGTGGTTCGGATTTGAAAGTGAATTCGATTGCTTCTCAGTATGTTCATAAACTTGGGATGATAATTAAACGATCGACACATGAATTGGATTTGGATGATCAAGAAAGTGTGAGGATTTGGGCGGAAAGGAATAAGAAATCGATTTTTTATTATCGGGATGCTTCGGAAACGGAACCCTTTATTCTTGGGATTCAAACTGAATGGCAGTTGCAGCAGATGCTTAGGTTTGGACATCGGAGTCTTATAGCAGCAGATTCAACTTTTGGAATCAAGAGATTAAAGGTGCATACTTGTATTCCAGCTCTATTTTCTATGATGAGGATCAGGAGGGCATTTGCATCTTTTTTTTTTTTTTTTGTCTTAACTCATCGAGCTCATTAAGTCAAAAAGAAACAACCCCTTAGCTTCTGAAATCTAATAGCCTTGATGTGTTTTTGTTTTTAAAAAAATTTCTGATTGCAGTATCCTTTGTGCACACTTCTTGTGTTTGATTCGAGACAACACGCACTCCCTGTAGCATGGGTAATTACTCGAAGTGTTGCAAAATCCGATGTATGTAAGTGGATGAAAGCTCTTCTTGGCCGTGTTCGTGCTGTTGACCCAACATGGAAAGTCAACGGATTTATTATCGATGATGCAGCAGTAGAGACTGATCCCATAAGGTATGCTATTCATTCCTGAAATTAATGATTCTTTTTTGCATATTGCTTATTTTCATATTGGTTAAATGCAAGAAATAACAATGTACTTTCATTTCTTCCTATTACAACATTTTACTTTCAAAATCTACCCAATTATAGGCTTAGAGCAATTCCATTCAAACAGAATGCAATTTTTATTGTTATAATAAGGATTTAAAATACACAAATAAATCAAAGTACGTTGCTAATTCTTACATTTAGCCCTTTCTATATTGGGTTAAAGGTGCATAACATATGTTATTCATTCCGGAGATTAATGCTTCTTTTTCCGTTTTACTTATATTTATACAGGTTTTAGCAAGAAATAACAACATACTCTGTTGTAAAATCCTACTTTCCTTTTTTCCTATTACAGCATTGTACTTTAAAAATCTGCTCAGTTATAGCAAGGTCAGTGCAATTTTCACTGTTATAAGAAAGAAATTACAATGCTACATTGGGTAGATTTTCCAAAGTACAATAGCTGGACAAGAAAAAAAAAAAAATCAAAAGTACACTGTTGTCTTACTAGGAAGAAATGAAAGTAGTTTGCTATGGCTTTATGCAAAATTCAGTCTCTTACTCTTAACTTATTTCCACTTTATGGCTTTATGCAAATAACCAGTTTTGTAGACAAAATATGCAAACCCCTTTTAATTTTAGGATCAAAAGATACAACATTTAACCAGTAACTTGTTTAATCCGTTAAAACGTTGTTGCTATGGCTGTAGTTTGAAATTTTTTTGAATTAGGAGATTGTGCTTTGAAAAATCTACTCAAGTTATAGCAGTGAAAGTTTCATTATATCTAAATGACATCAGCATGATGTACTTTCTTTGTAGGGAGACGTTTTCGTGTCCTGTATTATTTTCAGTGTGGCGTGTTCGTCGGTCATGGCTGAGACATGTTGTGAAGAATTGTAGAAACATTGAAGTCCAAAGACAAATCTTTAAACGTTTGGGAGAAATAGTTTACAGCATTTGGGGAGGAGTTGATCCTTTTCTTGTCTTACAGAAATTCATCCAAGATTTTGTTGACCAAACTGACTTCATGCAATATTTCAATGCCACATGGGTGCCTAAGATTGGTTAGCTACAATCCTACCTTTTTCATTTCCTTCTTAGGGAATCGATAAATGCAACAAATAGCAACATACTTTTGTTTATTTATTATTCATTTCTTAACACAAATAGCAACATACTGTTTTAAGAAACTAAATCAACAAAATTTTCTTCCTAGTTTGATAGACGTTGCTATAATCGGGTAGATTCTTCAAAACACAATACTATAAATGTAATAGTATGAAATAATAAACAAAATCAACAGAAGTAGATTGTTATTTTTGCATTTAGCCTTTATTGATTTCTTATTCCATTCCTCAGAGATGTGGTTAACAACAATAAAATCCCTCCCACTAGCAAGCCAAGAATCCTCGGGTGCAATCGAATCCTACCACGTGAAACTAAAACTCAAACTCTTCGACGACTCGCACCTGGGTGCACTCCAACGAGTCGATTGGTTAGTCCACAAGCTAACCACCGAGCTCCACTCCTCCTATTGGCTCGACCGCTACGCAGACGAAAGCGACTCCTTCCAAACCATCAAGGACGAATACGTAAATTCCACCTCATGGCATCGAGCATCAAAAATCCCAAACACCAACATTACATTATCCCCAAACACCACCAAAATCCTAAGCCAAACCGATACTTCCCGTTCCCATATCGTCTCGAATCCCGGGTCCGAATTCGCGTTTTGCGATTGCGAGTGGTCGTTACGCGGGAACATCTGCAAACACGTGGTCAAAGTCAACACGATGTGCGAGAATCTAAAAGGGTACCAAAGTTCGTTGTCGTTTCACGCGTTTCAAGAGATACTTGTGAAGATGTTTGAAAAACCATTGGATGATTCGATGGACCTTGATTTGTCAATGGCGTGGTTGGGTCAAATTCATGGTCAAATTGAGAAACTTGTGGAGTTGAATAAGTCAACGGATATTGGAACGGTGGTCAATGGGCTTCCGTTGAAGTGGAATTCTAAAAAAAGTAGAACGTCGTTGGCCCGTAGACCGGCCACCGTGGGCCAGTCGTTGGCGCTGACGTCAGCGAATAGTGGTGTTAATGTTCGGAAGAAGAGTCGGAAGAGGAAAAGATTGTCGCGTATAAGGTAAATAAGAGAAAGAGATCATTAATTTCTGCTACCTTAATTGTTTTTGTTGTCTTTTAAACCCATGTTACGCATTTTTTTTTATGCGGTTTAGAGTTTTTAAGTACGAAAGTTGTAGATAACATTTTTTTATATCTATTATATTTCATTACGCTGTATATAATCTTTGTATTTGATTACACTTTTGTTCTGAAATAGTTTAAGGATGGATCGACGTATTTGCTTATGAGGACAAGAGTTGCTCTTGTAAGTTATATATAAGTGTTTTTATTTATTTCTTTATTTATTTAATGCAATAAGATGATTTAATGCAGATCGCTAGCACAATTGACTTCACATTTTTAACAAAAAAAATTGACTACTAATATATCGACGATCTTCTCACATACATACAGGGTCATCAACAAAACAGATTGATGCTCTCTTTGTTTTCTCCTAAGTATTAGTAAGTTACCATAAATGATCCTTGAAAATGTTTTATAAAATGACGGTGTTTTTCAGGAGACGATAGAAAAAAATATGAGAGTCGATTTATTTATCTATTAAATTGTTAATTTTGTATCAAGTAAAAAAAGTGCTTATGTATACTATCTAACGTTCTGTTAAGTTAATAAAATAATAAAAAGTGACAAATATAGTCAATTTCTTTGATGATTACCATAAAGGATGATTTTTTGAATCTCAAAATAGCTCAGTTTGAATTGTGAAATGCATTATTCAATATGAAATAGTTATGTACTGTAAAATGACATCGTTTGCTTAAAAAAATGCTGAGAAATCCTTTGTAATACCACAGCTACGTATTCTGATTATTATATTTGGAAAATAGATTTCAAGAAAAACCGTTTTTTTTAGACACCTATTTAAAGATGTATATATAGTTTAGCCAGGAGGTTTTCTTAATCTGAGTTATCCTAACAAAATTTGTAAGGCTTAAGATCCACTTGTGGATATAAAACAAACATTTTAAGGTTGGAATCATCATTTTAATATGAAAACACAAGGTATGTTTTTATATCAAAATAAAGATAACATCTATGTTTACTAAGAACTAGTGGAAGCATAATAATATTCCTAATCTTGTATGAATGAGATATACTTAATCATAATAAATTACATTTCAGACTACGCAACACTTTTTCCCTTGACTCACAATGTATTTTTAAGATGAAAGATTTAGGAAAAGAAAAATAAAAATGTAAAATCTATGGAGATAGATAATGATGAATGTTAAAGTTTTAAACCTTTATGCATATGGTGAGAAAATCTTGAAAGAGATCAAGATACAAGATTTCTTTGGAGGACTCTTGGCATTGCAACATGGCACCATTTTGAGTCTCACTCAAAAGGACCTAACACATAGGTTTGAGCTAGATAAAATGATTTATATTTCATTTTCTTTAACAAATGAATCTATCATTTATGCCATATTATGCACAAGAGTAGGTATATGATCAAACTATGAACATATCATAAGATACCAATAAGATACATGAAAGCTCATTAGATGACTATAAAGACATTCAAAAAGTACTTATGAAGAACTAGAGAATGTATGAGTTAATCAGTTTAGAAGAAGATCTTCATGTAAAGAGCTACATAATATGCTAATTTCAAAACACACACATCCACACACACACACACACACACACATATATATATATATATATATATATATATATATATATATATATATATATATATATATATATATATATAACTGGATTATAATTTCATTATGGATTCAGAGTAAGTTTTATTAGAACGAGGTCCAAACAAAACATAATTGCATAGTCTACTACAAAATAAGAATATACTACTACTTTAAAGGTTGCAATCAAATATGATTGTATGAATGAGTTCATTAAAAAACTAAGTTAAGTCCTTCCATTCAAGGATCACATAGGAATTTTTTTGTGAGTTCAAGAGTATATTTAATCAAACTAAGATAGTCTGAATTGTCACAACTAGCATTTTAGCTAGGGAATTCTTTCCTCATGTAAACATCAACTATTGCAAGATTTGTACTCTAAATGGATATCATACTCTATGCTCAATCAAAATCATCAATTTGAATCAAAATTCCTGAGTGAAGTTCAAAACCTAATACAATACATCTTATATACTTAACTATGTGTCTGAAACCCTAAAAACCCCGGTTCAAATTTATTAGGGACTATGATCCTCTTATTGGGCCTGATGGGCCAGTAAACCTTCTATTTGATGATTTTGGGCCAATGAAACCCATTTGGGCTCTAGTTGGGCCTATATTTGTCAAACCATAGCAATTGCACCGTGTTGGGTATAAAGTAACTCACTTATTTAGCATGGTCATGATGGGCCGTGAACCACCCTATTGAACCATGATGGGTCGTGAACCCATCCTCTCATAGTATTTGGACCGTAAACCCCATCCCTTACCACCTTTGGGCCGTGAACCCTCATAAGGGCCCAATGGGCCGAAAACAATCAACTTGGGCCTTATAATATTGAAATCAAGCAAGTAAGGCCCAAACTTTTTCTCCTTTCTTTTTCTTCTCCTTTATTCTTGGCCCAACTATAAGAAAGAGAAAGAAAAGAAGAGATAATAATAGGATGAAAACCTTGACACCTTAATGTTGCATGGTGGTAATCCATGCACAATAACCACCATACAACAAGTTAAATCCCATACTTCTATCCAAGGTTTTCTCACTCCCTCTCTTCTCTTCAAATTATTGGCCATAAGACCTCCCCACCATCAGTCTTCATTTCAAACTCAATATTCTATCATCTTTCCCTCTCAAAATCAAGGACAAAATCGTGAGTGCGTGTGAGGGTGTTCAAGAGTTCCACACCAAGACCCCAACTTGGTAAGTTCTTGTTTAACTCTATGGTTTAACTTCAAGTTTACACTAAAATCTCTCCTTAAACCACTCGCATTTCATGATCATGCTCTTAAAGCTTCATAGATCTCGAAAATCTTCTCAAGGAAACATCTAGGGTCGAAATCTTTTTCGAAATCTTCTTTAAACCGAGAACAACAACCCAGAGTGAGTTCATACCCCATATTTTCGGTTTTCACTATGTTTTGGGGGCGAATACAAGTTGCTTTGTGTAGATCTATATGTTTATGCATGTATATGTGTGTTTTCATGTTATATGTTGTGTTTATGTTATGAAAACATGCTAGATCTTTACTAAATTTGAAATATCCACCATATTTGGTGATGTTTGTAAACAAAACTATCTTATGTGACATACTATGTGATGAAAAGGATTAAACAAGCTAAGAATGTGTGAACACTAACCAAAATCGTATAAAGGGCCATTTTTGACAAAATAAATAAAAGGTGAGGTTCTTATGTAACTCATGGTTTTGGGAGGACCAAAAGAGTCATTTTTAAAGCAAAATGGATCTTTGTGATATTCATGGTCTTAGAGGGGCCAAAAGTGCAAAATTTTCACAAATGGGCTTCTGTATGGGTCTTCACGTTTTTTAATGGGCTAAATATGCCAATTTTCACAAAAGATGGGTCTTTATTATGCAACTCATGGTTATTAGGGGTCAAAAGGGATTATTTTTGCTAAAGATGGTTAGTTGCAATATTTGAGACCCTACGAGGACTAAAAATGTAAACATTTTCATAAATGGGCCATATTTGGACTTTTATGGGCTTAAATGTCATTTTCAACAAAGTTGTACCAAAAATGTAAATTTTTGATAAGAGGGATTTTAAAATGTGAAATTATTAAAATTTGGGCCAAAAAGATGGATTTACCTATAATGGGCCGAAAATGCACATTTTTATAAAGATCAAGCCCAAAAATGATATTTTTGACAAAAGTGAGTAAAAATGATTATTTTTACAAAAAGTGGGTCTTTTATGTCATTTCGGAAAATTATTAAACTAGAACAAGCAATAATATGACAAACGGGCTAATTATGTCATTCTCGTGTTATTGGGCTTTGGTGACCCATTTATATGCCTGATAGGTCCTGAATACTCTATATATGTTTATTGGGCCTTGTTGGCCCATTTACATGCTCGACGGACATTGGATACTAATTGCATGCTATTTGGTCCTGTAAATACCATACATGTGAAATGGGTCTTAGTTTTCCTTTTACATATATTTTGGACCCAGATTATATAATCTCATTCCTTATGAGCCTAGAAATGATTTACATGTTAGTGGGCCATAGTTGTTCACTTACATGTTTATTGGTCCTGGAATGTGCTTTATATGTTTCTCTTCGCGTAAATTTGATTAAGGTTCTAGTGAGACGTGTCGGTTGAAACCTATTGAGTGTACGATCGTAGCCTGTAGTTATAACCAAAGTCTCTTGGAGGGAGAGCGGGGATTTATGTATAGATCTATACGGGGATGACACCCCACACCTGGGCTATTTGCTATAGTTAGACTGAACCAGTCTAGGGTGACGAAAACCTTACCTTATTCCGCCGGCGTTCAACAACGCCAAGACAGGCGAAATTGTCATTATCTAGTATCGTTATAACGACTCACTTAGAGGAATTACCATTATAAATTTACAGAAGACCATTCTCTTTTCTCATTGGATTACTCGGTAACATACTTGCACCGGTACTAAACCTCGGGGGTTGATATACCGACATTCTCTTTTCTAGACAACATCGGGTTGTCTGGGGGGATTCTCTATACATTCTCTTCATTATCTTTTTACATTTTAATAAACAATAATACACATGCATTAATACAAGATCGGACATAAACATACTAAATTGTTTTCAGAAAATACATGATTTTCTGGTGGTTATAAAGTTATGCAAATCATTTTCTCAAACATGCTTATGAACTCACCAACATTTTTATGTTGACATTTTTATATTAAGTTATATTCTCAGGAAACCATTGAGCAGGTTGGGCAGAACGAACTCATGGATGTTTTGTTATATTTTGTTTCATCATACTTTAACTATTTTGGCATGTAATATTTTAAACATAATACTCGATATAAACTATGAATGCTGTTATATTACATGTGTAATGATGATGATGTTATGTTTTAGTTGTATACTTTGTAATGATACTACAACAATGGAATCACACATAAGCCCTCGGACGTTTCCGCAGTTTTGTTCGGGGATGTGACATAAATCATATTAGAACACCAATCATAGTCTTCGAGATATTTAACTATACTTAGAATAAAGTGAAATATGGAGATGGTCATATTCACATAATTAACACAAAATAAATTTAGTCAAACCCATTAATGACACCCTTCATTTAAGCTAAGAATGAAAGGTCAAGCTATAGTTATAAGACTTTATTATTATAAAAATAGGATTTGATTTGAATTTAGTATTTAGATATTGGAACATCATAACGATAACTATGATATTGTTTAGATATATCAAGATACGATCTTCACATCAATACTTGTTATGTTCTATATGAACATGTTTAATCAATGAATCATCTAATTATTTTAAAACCTTATAGTCGGTTATAACTATGGGATCAATTAGGAAGTAAGACTAGTATGAATTAGATTGGTTG